ACCAGGTGTAATGGCTCTTTCTACTTCCAGCAGAGTGCCCCACAAGAAGGGGTGATTTCAAGTGTGTGTGAGAGAGAGATGGGAAGAAAAGGAGGGAATGTTTAACTCTTTCTCTCTGTGTCATTTTTCCCTTTAAAAAGTTTCATTCGAAAGCATTTTGGAGTTGTGTTGCTTACAGAGAACATGTTACTTACTTACTTACTTAGGCAGTCCCTCGTTGGCCGAGTAGGATAGTCTTCCAGGATCAGAATTCTTGTGAGTCTGTGGGTGGCTGTGGAGCCCTATTCTTGATCTGCATCTTCTTCCGCAGTGAGGGCATTGGTTTCCAGGTGGAAGGTGGTCTCGGTTGGGGTTGGGTTGACACGCCTTCCTCTTGGCACGTTTCTCTCTTTCACCCTCCATTCGTGCCTCTTCAAATTCTATAGCACTGCTGGTCACAGCTGACCTTCAGCTGGAACGGTCAAGGGCCAGGGCTTCCCAGTTCTCTGTGTCTATGCTGGAGTTTTTAAGGTTGGATTTGAGCCCATCTTTAAATCTCTTTTCCTGCCCACCAACATTCCGCTTTCCGTTCTTGAGTTCGGAGTGGAGCAACTGCTTTGGGAGATGGTGGTTGGGTATCTGGACAACGTGGCCGGTCCAGCGGAGTTGATGGCGGAGGATCATCGCTTCAATGCTGTTGGTCTTTGTTTCTTCCAGCATGCTGACGTTTGTTCAACTGCAGGCCCGTAGCCAGGATTTCAATTGGGGGGGGGGGCTGAGTTTTTTTCAGGAGGGGTTTGGGGGGGCTGAGTTTCGGGGGGGGGGCTGAGTCTGAGTGAAAGAGGGTCTACCCTAGCAAACCTTTTGTATCATTACCCCAATACCCCCATGCATATGGGATATATTGAGTATGGTGATCAGATCATGATATGAATAAACATAACAGTTTAAATAATGCACCAGTAAGGCCTTTTCGTGAAACCACCATGAGAATTTCGGGGGGGGGGCTGAAGCCCCTCAAGCCCCCCCCCCCCCCCCCCCACCCCGCTACATGCTATCCACCTGTCTTTCCAAGGGATTTGCAGGATTTTCCGGAGGCAGTGCTGATGGAATCGTACCCAGAGTTGCATGTGACATCTGTAGACAGTCCACGTTTCGCAGGCATATAGCAGGGTTGGGAGGACAATAGCTTTATAAACAAGCACCTTGGTATCCCTACGGATGTCTCGGTCCTCAAACACTCTCTGCTTCATTCGGAAAAATGCTGCACTCGCAGAGCTCAGGCAGTGTTGTATTTCAGTGTCGATGGTGACTTTGCTTGAGAGGTGGCTGCCAAGGTAGCAGAAATGGTCAACATTTTCTAATGTTACACCATTAAGCTGTATCTCTGGCATTGGAGAGGGGTTGGCTGGTGACTGCTGGAACAGCATTTGGTTTTCTCAATGTTCAATGACATACCACCTTAAGGCAGAGGAGATGGCTCCTCCTTAAAAGCGGTACCATTGGACCTCTCCTCCAGCCCAGCCCTTTGCCTGCTGCTGATGCTGCCGGTGTCTGCAGCAGGAGGGGAAGGAGGGAGGAGAGAGACCTAGGCGCCGCAAGCATCAGTTGCAGCAAGAGCACCAGGAGGAGGAGGAGGACTCAGGGAGAGCAGCATCCCGGGAGCAGAGCCCGCAGCAGGAGGAGCGCCAGCCCAGCCCAGAGAGAGCCTCGCCGCTCTGCTGCTGCTGGGGGGTGACAGGCAGGGAACCAGGCTCCCCATCGCTCGCCCTCCTCTCGCTGCCCTCCTGCGCCTTTTCCCGGGAATCGCACCCCACTCCAAGCCCTCGCCGCCCCTCTTTCTTCCACCCTCGCAAAGGAGAGCCTTCCCCCGCCAGCATGACGACGGAAGTCAATGAATGCAGCATCAAAGTGCTCTGTCGCTTCAGGCCCTTGAATCAGTCCGAGATCATCCGGGGGGATAAATTCATCCCGGTTTTCCAAGGCGATGACACCGTCATCATTGGGGTGAGTGAAGGGCGAGGAAGAGATGGGACGGTGGGGGTCTCTGGGCCCTTCCACACAGCCCTGTATTATCCAAGAATATCAAGGCAGAAAATCCCACCAAATCTGCTTTGAACTGGGTGCTCTTCCACACAGCCTTATTTCCAGAATATCAAATCAGGAAATCCCACATTATCAGATATTGTGGGATTTTCTGCCATGATATTCTGGGATATAGGGCTATGTGGAAGGGCCCTCTGTCTCTCTTTCTGCATGTATAATCCTTTCTCTCCATCCCTCCCTCCTTTTCTCTCCCCTCTCTTTCTCTTTCTCTCCACTTCTCCCCACCTTTCTCCCCCATCCTTTTCTCTCTCCCCCTTTTCCCAATCCATCTCTCTCCCCACCTTTCTGTGTGTGGCCCTTCTGCACAGCCATAATAACCCAGAATATCAAGGCCAATAATCCACAGTATCTGCTTTGAACTATCTGAGCCCACACTGTCATATCATCCAGTTCAATGTGGATTTTATACAGCTGTGTGCAAGGGGCCTGTGTACCCACTTCTTTCTCCTTCTTTTTCTCTCTCTACCCCTCTTTCTCTGCCTCTTCCCTTTTCTCTCTTTCCCACCTTTGCTCTCTCCCTTTTTCTCCCTTTCTCTATTTCCCTCTTTTTCTCTCACCTCTCCCCCCTTTTCTCTCTCATTTTCCCATTTACCTTCCTTCCTCTTTCCCCTTTTCTCCTTTTCTCCCTTTCTCTCCCTCTCCTTCTTTCCCCCCTCTCTTCCTTTCTCTCTTTCACTCTCTCCATCTCTTTTTCTCCCTGTTTTTTCTCTCTTTCTCCCCCTTCTTTCCCCCTTTTCTCTTTCCATATTTCTTTTCCCTTTCTCTCTCTCCATCTTTCTCTTTCTCCCTCTCTCCATTCCTGTCTTTTCCCCCTTTTCTCCCTCTCTCCCTTTCTCTTTCTCTCTCCCCCTTTCTCCCTCTCTCCTTTTCTCTCTTTCCCCCATTTTCTCTCTCAATCTCTCTCTTCCCTTTTCTCCCTCTCCCTTTCTCTCTCTCTCCCCCCTCTTCTCCCTTTCTCCTTTTCTCTCTTTCCCACCTTTTTCTCCCCCATCTCTTTCTTCCCTTTTCTCCCTATTTTCCTTTCTCTTTCTCTCCCCCTCCTCCATTTCTCCCTCTCTCCTTTTCTCTTTCCCACCTTTCTCTCTCTCCATCTCTCTCTTCCCTTTCTCCTCTCTCCTTTCTCTTTCTTCCCCTTTGTCCTCTCTCCTTTTCTCTTTTTCCCTCTTTTTCTCTCTCTATCTCTCTTCCCTTTTCTCCCTCTCTCCCTTTCTCTTCCTCCCCCCCTTTCTCCCTCTTCCCTTTTCTCTCTTTCCCACCTTTTTCTCTCTCTTTCTCTCTCTTCCCTTTTCTCCCTCTCACCCTCTTTCCCCCTGTCTGGGCCCTTCCACACATCCATAATAACCCAGAATATCAAGTCAGATAATCCACAATATCTGCTTTGAACTGGATTATCTGAGTCCACACTGCCATATAATCCAGTTCAGTGTGGATTTTATACAGCTGTGTGGAAGGGGTCTCTCTCTCCACCTCTCTCTTTCTGTCCACCTCCCCGCTCTCCCTTTCTGTGTATGTGTGTGTTGAGGAAAATTGGGAGGCCTGCTCCCTATGGATTGCTCTTACGCTCCACATCGATCCTCTCCCAAGGCGTCCATTCAGTTCTGTGATCTTGATACAAGCTGCTTGTTTCCTTATGAATTCCCTCAGCTCAACATTCCCCCTCCCCCCACCTTTAAAATGTCTTTTTGACAGGAAAATCCATCAGTATAAACATGCTCCACCTATCACTCTCTGAAAACTGGTAGCAGGGAAGGATGCTTGGAGTATCCGCTTCCATTTTTGTGCCATTGCTGCCTCCCTCCTTAGCTCTGCAGGCTTGGTCAGCTGGGTGTGGCTAGCTGAGCTGTTGGTTTGGCCACTGGGAAGAAAAGAGCCCTTGGGAGCTGGGAGGGAAACTACAAGCCACTTTCCTTTCTGACTGTCCATCCATCACACAGCCCATAGGTTATCTTGCCTTTTCAAACCTTACAACTCCATCCTTCTAGCAGCTAGCCAAGCTCTGCTTGCGCCTCCTGAGGTTAACATTCTCAAAATGCCCAAAGGTCCCCTGCTTACCCACCACCTGTAATTTTTTAAAATCCCCCTGCTCATATCCATAATCCAGTGAAATATTCCATACTGACTTCCATCTGTGCAGTATAAAGATCAGGGCTAAAATGGTGCAGGTGGCTAGCTAAGGCGCCTGGAGGTTGTTTACTCGGAAATGGCAACGCCCCTGAAGCTTGTCCCTGTGGTCCTTGTGCTTGCCACTTGGTACCGTTCTGGGCTTTCAACCTGCTGATTGTTTGGATTTTCCCGTTGCTAAATCCACCATCTGTCAGAGTAGAAGGAAGGGTGGTAATGCATTTTTCCCCCAAGGGAACAAACATGGTTATTCTCCCAGTGCCAACTTGCTGGTGCTATGCCCAACAATGGTGCTGACATCTCCCCATGCAACTGTTTTATTGCAGAGAGGGACAAGCTGCTGAGTGTGTGGTTGTGAAACGAGTAGGTTATCTGCTTTGTATGGCCGGCCAACTGATGTGAGTGTGCCCTATCTCAACTTCATCCTTTGACCATTGATCCATTGACCACGGCTTGTGCAGCTGTGATGAGCAAGTGACAACCCACACCCCTAAATCTGAAGGACCTGCTCAAGGTGACCTAGCCATTTGTGGAATTAGAACTTGGGCCATCTTCCCCACCGGCACCACAACCCCTAGTTGGCAGCTCATCTCTCTGTGGTTTCTGAGTGCCTTGCTATGCTTTTGCTGCAGAGAAAGCCATCAATCTGCTTTCTGCTAGAGCCTGAGTCTTCTTTCCTTTTTTTTTTTCCATGTCAGGAGTGACTTGAGAAACTGCAAGTTGCTTCTGGTGTGAGAGAATTGGCCATCTGCAAGGACATTACCCTGGATGCTTTACCACCCTGTGGGAGGCTTCTCTCATGTCCCCGCATGAGAAGCTGGAGCTGACAGATGGGAGCTCCCCCTGCTCCCCAGATTCGAACCGTCCACCTTTCCGTCAGCAGTTCTGCTGGCACAAGGGTTTAACCCATTGTGCGACCGGAGGCTTCTTTTCATTCCTATGAAACAAGCACATTGAGCCCTGCAGTGTCAAGTTTACTTAGGTGCTCTGGTTTGGGAAGGGAAATATATATATATATATATTATTGAAACAAGCCCACATAGATACCTCTTGAGTCGCCATTGCTGTGCCGCAGACTCATCCCTGGTTCATACAGAAATCCTCAAAAATCCCAAAATATGAGAGGCTTCCTCCCCTAGTTTGATAGCCTTTATGTTGCTTTGTCTTTTGAGGCCTGGACAACAGCTTCTGTTTGGCCACTTGAAGCCGATAGTTTGTTGTAAAGTCCACATCAGCTGCAGACCCTTTAAATACAGTATGCCAATGTTAAGATGGATTTGTGCCTACCAATTAGATGTGCCTGGCTGCCATTGTTTTTCTGTGTTTATTTATTTTCCTCCCTGGGAAAGGTAGCAGCTCAGATCTTATTCCTTTGGAACAAAACACCGATGAGGCCATGACCATTGTTGCAGAGAGACCGAGCAGCACGGTGTGATGCTCCTGCCTTGCCCGGCTGCTGCTTCGTCATCCCTCTCAGCAGTGACAGGGGACAGTCGGCACTCCTTCCTAGGAACCACTCCCCTCCATTGTGTGTTGCTCCCTCCGTCCATCATAGAAACCATTGCCATCTAAATGGTTCATTGTACACCTCCAAAATCCCCAAACTTCGGCCTTGCTTCGATCCTCTCCTGCCTGCAGTTGGCACAATCGTATGTAATTTCAGATGTGATAGAAAGCAAATACAAGTGGGGTTTTGCGGGCATTCCCTGAAGGCATCCTCTTCAAGCCTCCTTATACAACTCACCTATCATCATCAGGTTCTTAACCTGATGGGGTTCTTGGAATGGGTGAAAATCACGCCACCCTTGCTAACGCATAGTGATTTGTACTTATCGATTGCTTTAGCTTAACAGTTTTCTTTATCTTATGCTGGACATCTCTGGGTGGATTTTTTAAAAAAAATATTCCCTCCTCTCACTGTTACTAATTGGATTGGCTTGACATGAAAGAAAACCAACTCTTTAGTTGTGACCTCCCTAGTCTTTCTCTCTTCCTTGGTGAAAAAGAGGTAACTGGAACACTTTCTTATTATTTGGTGAGATCTCATCTGTCTCTGATTGCAAGTGCTACTTGGCTGTGGCTTTGAAGAGGTTTGTCAAGAGGCCAGCATGGCTACCATGACTCACGCTTCTCGTCCACTTAATTAGTGTGCAAATCTCAAAGTGTAAAAGGAAAAGGTTTCGGCCTCCAGATGATCGCTGTGCACACCAGTCGGTTATCATCTTTTAGAGCAGCTAAAATGGAAGCTGGGGCTGTTTTTCTTATCTTGGAGGCCGAATTCCATTTTGTGGAAGGCCTGGCTCTCCAGGCGACATTGCTCGCTTGGCATCCATGGATAATATGGTTACAATGTATTGTCGAAGGTTTTCATGGCTGGAATCACTCAGTTCTTGTGGGTTTTTTCGGGCTATATGGCCATGTTCTAGAGGCATTCTCTCCTGATGCTTCGCAGCTACAGCAGACCTCACCTCTGAGGAAGCTTGCCATAGATGCAGGCGAAACGTCAGGAGAAATGCCTCTAGAACATGGCCATATAGCCCGAAAAAACCCACAAGAACCGAATATGGTTACAACTTGAAAACCCTTTCAAATGGAGGATTTGACTTAATGGATCTATACAGCATGAAGGCTATACTGGCAACATACATAGAAGGCATAATTTAGGAACCACAAAGCTTATCGGGTTGTCACCCAGAAAACATCCTTTCCCCTTTAATAGTATTGTGCCATCAGAAGGATTTGCTTTCAATGTGTCTCCTAACCCATTACTTCCTAGATCT